CTCCTAAAATTCTCATTTTTCACTCCAAAATTCTCTTTATTTTTTTTCCTTCGCTCCTAAAAAAATTCTCATTTCTTCTCTCCTAAAATTCTCATTTTTTGTCTTCTCGCTCCTAAAAAAAATTTAAATTTTTTCCTAAAGAATCCCTAAAAAATTCTCATTTTTCCTCCTAAAATTCTCATTTTTCACTCCAAAATTCTCTTTATTTTTTTCCTTCGCTCCTAAAAAATTCTCATTTCTTCTCTCCTAAAATTCTCATTTCTTGTCTTCTCACTCCTAAAAAAAATTTAATTTTTTTCCTAAAAAATCCCTAAAAAATTCTCATTTTTCCTCCTAAAACTCTCATTTTTTTTCCTAAAAAATCCCTAAAAAATTCTCTTTTTTTTTTTCCTCATTCCTAAAAAAAAAATTTAATTTACTTGATCTAATTTCTATTTTTACCTCGTCCTGCTCCTCGTGCTCGAGGATGGCCTGCAGGAAGGCCCTGCGCTCGTGGCTGGAGGATTTCTGGTCGAACATCCCGGCCTGGATCACCTTCTGGTCCACGTTCAGTTTGTACTTGGCGGCCGCCAGGATCTTCTCCTCCACGCTGTTCACGGTGCAGAGGCGCAGGACGCGCACCTCGTTCTGCTGCCCGATGCGGTGCGCGCGGTCCTGCGCCTGCAGGTCCTGCCGACACAAAAATTTCATTTATTCTCCTCAAAATTTCATGGGAGTGAAGGTCTGAAGGAGTTTCGGGGTGGTAGCCAAAAAATTCCCATTTTTTTCCACAAAATTTTGGGTTTTTTCCCACAAAAATACCCGTTTTTTTCCTCAAAAATCCAAATTTTCTACTCAAAAATCCCTGAAAAAATTCAATTTATTCTTCTCAAAAATCCCTGAAAAATTCAATTTATTCTCCTCAAAAATCCCTGAAAAATTCAATTTATTCTCCTCAAAAATCCCTGAAAAAATCAATTTATTCTCCTCAAAAATCCCTGAAAAATTCAATTTATTGTGGCTGTTGCCGGTGCAGAGGCGCAGGACGCGCCCCTCGTTCTGCTGCCCGGTGCGGTGCGCGCGGCCCTGCGCCTGCAGGTCCTGCGGACACGCAAAAATTGAATTATTCTCCTCAAAATTTCATGGGAGTGAAGGTCTGAGAAGGTTTTGGGGTGGTAGCTCAAAAATCTCTTTTTTTTTCCCACAAAAATTCCTGGTTTTGGCATCAAAATCCCTGAAAAATTCAATTTATTGTCCTCAAAAATCCCTGGAAAAAAATCAATTTATTGTCCTTAAAATTCCATAGGGATGAAGGCCGAGAAAGTTTTGGGGTGGTAGCTCAAAAAATCCAAATTTTGTCCTCAAAAATCCCAGAAAAAAATAAATTTATTGCCTCGCTCTGGGCCACCAAAATTCCATTTATTTGCCTTAAAATTTCATGGGGGTGAAGGTTTTAGGGTGTTTTGGGGTGGTAGCTCAAAAATTCCCATTTTTCTCCACAAAAATCCAAATTTTTTTCCTCAAAATTCCTGGTTATGACCTCAAAATCTGCCCTGGTTTTGTCCTAAAAATTCCTGGTTTTGTCCTCAAAAATCCCTGAAAAAATTCAATTTATTGTCCTCAAAATTCATGTGGGGATGAGGCCTGAGGGGGTTTTGGGGTGGTAGCTCAAAAATTCCTGGATTTGCCCTCAAAAATCCAAATTTTCTACTCAAAAATCCCTCAAAAATTCAATTTATTGGCCTTAAAATTTCATGGGGGTGAAGGTTGAGAAGTTTTTGGGGTGATAGACCAAAAATTCCTGGTTTTTTGCACAAAAACCCCCATTTTTTACCTCAAAAATTCAAATCTTGTACTCAAAAATCCATGAAAAATTCAATTTATTTGCCTTAAAATCTCATGGGGGTGAAGGCTGAGAAGTTTTTGGGGTGATAGACCAAAAATTCCTGGTTTTTTGCACAAAACCCCCATTTCATTCCTCAAAAATTCAGATTTTCGACTCAAAAATCCAAATTTTGTACTCAAAAACCCCTGAAAAAAATTTCTGACCTGATTTTGGGGTTCCACCTCCAACTCATGGATCCATTTTGGGGTTTCCCCAATTCCTGACCTGATTTTGGGGTCCCACCTCAAATCCATTGATCCATTTTGGGGTTTCTACATCGTGGCCTTACCTGGTGGAGGTTCAGCTCCATCTCACCCCAAAATTTGCATCATCCCCAAATTCCTGAGCTGATTTTGGGGTTCCACCTCAAATCCATTGATCCATTTTGGGGTTTCTCCATCGTGGCCTTACCTGGTGGGGTTCAGCTTCATCTCACCCCAAAATTTGCATCATCCCCAAATTCCTGAGCTGATTTTGGGGTTCCACCTCCAAATCCATGGATCATTTTGGAGGTTTCTCCAATTTCTGAGCAGATTTTGGGGTTCCACCCGAACTCCATGGATCCATTTTGGGGTTTCTCCAATTCCTGAGCTGATTTTGGGGTTCCACCTGAACCCCACGGATCCATTTTGGGGTTTCTCCATCGTGGCCTTACCTGGTGGAGGTTCAGCTCCATCTCACCCCAAAATTTGCATCATCCCCAAATTCATGAGCAGATTTTGGGGTTCCACCTCAAATCCATTGATCCATTTTGGGGTTTCTCCATCGTGGCCTTACCTGGTGGGCTTCAGCTCCATCTCACCCCAAAATTTCCACCATTCCCAAATTTCTGAGCTGATTTTGGGGTTCCACCTGAACCCCACGGATCCATTTTGGGGTTTCTCCAGTTCCTGACCTGATTTTGGGGTTCATCACCACCTCCACGGATCCATTTTGGGGTTTCCCCAATTCCTGAGCTGATTTTGGGGTCCCACCTCCAACTCCACGGATCCATTTTGGGGTTTCCCCAATTCCTGAGGTGATTTTGGGGTTCCACCTGAACCCCACGGATCCATTTTGTGGTTTCTCCATCGTGGCCTTACCTGGTGGAGGTTCAGCTCCATCTCACCCCAAAATTTGCATCATCCCCAAATTCCTGAGCTGATTTTGGGGTTCCACCTCAAATCCATTGATCCATTTTGGGGTTTCTCCATCGTGGCCTTACCTGGTGGGGTTCAGCTCCATCTCACCCCAAAATTTCCACCATTCCCAAATTTCTGAGCTGATTTTGGGGTTCCACCTGAACCCCACGGATCCATTTTGGGGTTTCTCCCCCCCGGCCCTACCTGGTGGGGGTTCCAGTCGCTGTCGAAGATGATGACGGTGTCGGCCGACTGCAGGTTGAGGCCGAGGCCGCCGGCGCGCGTGCTCAGCAGGAAGATGAAATACTCGGAGCCGGGCTCGTTGAACGTCTTCAGCAGCATGCCCCGGTCCTCGGCCTTGGTGGTGCCTGGAACCGCACGCGGGGGTCACCGACGGCTCCGGAAGGTTCCGTTGGGAAGGGGATCCCCATTGGATTGAGTCGAATTCCCACCGTATTAAATTGAATTCCCATTCTCAATCCCACAGGGATTGGTGGTTCTGGAAGGTTCCATTGGGAATGGGATTCCCGTTGAATTGAATTGAATTCCCAATCCCATTGCGATTGACCGTTCCGGAAGGTTCCGCTGGGAAGGGGATTCCCATTGGATTGAATGGGATCCCCACTGGATTGAATGGGATCTCCATTAATTGAATGGGATTCCCATTGGACTGAATGAGATCCCCATTGGATTGAATGGGATCTCTATTGGATTGAATGGGATCCCCATTGGATTGAATGAGAATTCCATTGGATTGAATTCCCATTGGATTGAATGGCATCCCCACTGGATTGAATGGGATTCCCATTGAACTGAATGGGATCCCCACTGGATTGAATGGGATCCCCACTAATTGAATGGGATCCCCACTAATTGAATGGGATCCCCACTGGATTGAATGGGATCCCCACTAATTGAATGGGATCCCCACTAATTGAATGGGATCCCCACTGGATTGAATGGGATCCCCACTAATTGAATGGGATCCCCATTAATTGAATGGGATCCCCATTAATTGAATGGGATCCCCACTGAATTGAATGGGATCCCCATTAATTGAATGGGATTCCCATTGAACTGAATGGGATTCCCATTGGACTGAATGAGATCCCCATTGGATTGAATGGGATCTCTATTGGATTGAATGGGATCCCCATTGGAAAACTGGGAATTTTGAGGGAAAACTGAGGATTTTGAGGGATATTTGGGGAATTTGAGGGGAAAATTGGGAATTTTTGGGGAAAAATTGGGGATTTTTGGGGAAAAACTGAGGATTTTGAGGGGAAAATTGGGAATTTTGGGGGGAAAAGCGGGGATTTTGGGGGTGCACCCACCCCACGGGGCACTCACCGTCCAGCCTGAGGTATTTGAAGCCGCGATAAGCGAAATAATCCTCCATGATGGTCATCAGGGAGGTCATCTGGCAGAAGAGCAGCACCTTGTGGTTGGTGGCCCTGAGTTTGGGCAGGATCCGATCCAGGAGCTCGAATTTTCCAGAAGCTCGGTACAAATCCAGCCTTGGACGGAGAAAAAAACGGCAAAAAAATAGGAAAAAAATGGAATTGTTTGGAAAAATTTTGGTGTCGGGATCACCTGGATTCACGGGATGGTTCATCTTCCACCTCTAGGAAAATTCTGAGTTATTAAATTCACAGATTTTATTACAAATTCTAAAAAACGGCCAAAAATCAGAGAAAAAATTGAAATTTTTTGGAAAAATTTTGGAGTCGGGATCATCTGGATTCACACGATGGTTCATTTTCCACCTCTAGGAAAATTCCGAGTTATTAAATCCACAGATTTTATTACAAATTCTAAAAATTAGAGAAAAAGTTGAATTTTTTCGAATAATTTTGGTGTCGGGATCATCTGGATTCACGGGATGGTTCATCTTCCACCTCTAGGAAAATTCTGAGATATTAAATTCACAGATTTTATTACAAATTCTAAAAAATGACCAAAAATCAGAGAAAAAATTGAAATTTTTTGGAAAAATTTTGGTGTTGGGATCACCTGGATTCACGGGATGGTTCATCTTCCACCTCTAGGAAAATTCTGAGTTATTAAATCCACAGATTTTATTACAAATTCTAAAAAACAACCAAAAATTAGAGAAAAAGTTGAATTTTTTGGAAAAATTTTGGTGTTGGGATCATCTGGATTCACGGGATGGTTCATCTTCCACCTCTAGGAAAATTCTGAGTTATTAAATCCACAGATTTTATTATTAAATCTAGAAATTTGTTCTAAATTTTTAGCATTAATAATATTCATTCTAAAATTAATTCTAAAAATTAATTCTAGAATTAATTCGAATATTAATTCCAATCTTAATTCTAAAAATTAATCCTAAAAATTCTAAAAATCACTCACCCCTGCACGATCCCGCCCGTGAAGCCCAAGTGCTCGGAGAAGGATTCCTGAAATAAAAGAGGAGAAATTGGGACAAAAAGCAGCAGAAATTGCCCCAAAAATAAAAATCTGGAGCCAAATTGGGACAAAAAGCAGCAGAAATTGCCCCAAAAATAAAAATTTTTGGGTTTATCCTGGGTTTAACCCTTTAGGGTTTTGGCCATGTTGGGTTTATCCTGAATTTAACCCTTTAGGATTTTTGCCTTTTTGAGTTTCCTGAATTTAACCCTTTAGAATTTTTACATTTTTGGGTTTATTCTGAGTTTAACCCTTTAGGATTCTTGCCATTTTTGGTTTAACCCTTTAGGGTTTTTGCCTTTTTGAGTTTACCCTGAGTTTTTTCTTTTAGGATTTTTGCCTTTTTGGGTTTATCCTGAATTTAACCCTTTAGGGTTTTTGCAATTTTGAGTTTAACCTTTTAGGATTTTTGCGGTTTTGGGTTTATCCTGAATTTAACCCTTTAGGATTTTTGCCATTTTGGGTTTAACCCTTTAGGATTTTTGCGTTTTTGGGTTTTAACCCTTTAGGATTTTTGCCATTTTGGGCTTAACCCTTTAGGATTTTTACATTTTTGGGTTTATTCTGAATTTAACCCTTTAGGATTTTTGCCTTTTTGGGTTTCCTGAATTTAACCCTTTAGGATTTTTGCCTTTTTGGGTTTATCCTGGGTTTAACCCTTTAGGATTTTTGCCATTTTGGGTTTAACCCTTTAGGATTTTTGCCATTTTGGGTCTATCCTGAATTTAGCCCTTTAGGATTTTTGCGGTTTTGGGTTTAACCCTTTAGGATTTTTGCCATTTTGGGTTTAACCCTTTAGGATTTTTACATTTTTGGGTTTATTCTGAATTTAACCCTTTAGGATTTTTGCCATTTTGGGTCTATCCTGGATTTAACCCTTCAGGGTTTTTGCCCGGCCCCACCTCGATGTGCTGGAACATGTAGGGGTGGTTGCAGATCTTGCGCAGCTGCATGATGGTGTTCATCAGGGTCTTGGTGCCTCCTTTGCCCTGCCGGGAGAGTCAAAATTGAATTAATTTTTATTAAATTGAAATTTAATTAATTAATTTAAATTTATAAATTTAAATTTAGCTAATTAATTAATGCTGGGGAAAAAAAAAACCAAATCGATTAATGTTGGGGTTAAAAAAACCAAATTAATAACGCTGGGGTTAAAAAACTCAAAGTAAAGCTGGGGTTAAAAAATCCAAATTAACGTTGGGGTTAAAAATGAATGTTGGGGTTAAAAAGCCCAAATTAATGGTGGGGTTAAAAAATTCGAATTAATTAATGCTGACTTCAAAAACTCGAATTAATGGTGAGGTTGAAAAAACCAAATTAATTAATGTTGGGGTTAAAAAATACAAATAATTAGGAGGGTTAAAAATCCCAAATTAATGGTGGGATTAAAAAACCCAAATTAATTAATGTTAGGGTTAAAAAAACCAAATTAATTAATGCTGGGGTTAAAAAAACCAAATTTGTAGTAGGGTTAGAAAACCCAAATTAATGTTGGGGCTAAAAAACCCAAATTAATTAATATTTGGGTTAAAAATACAAATAATTAGGAGGGTTAAAAATCCCAAATTAATGGTGGGATTAAAAAACCCCAATTAATTAATGCTGGGGTTAAAAACCAGAAATTATTGGTGGGGTTAAAAAACCTAAATTAATTAATGTTGGGGTTAAAAATCCAAATTAATGGTGAGGTTAAAAATCTCAAATTAATGGTGGGATTAAAAAACACAAATTATTAATGCTGGGGTTAAAAACCAGAAATTAATGGTGGGGTTAAAAATCTGAATTAATTAATGGTGGGGTTAAAAATCCCAAATTGGTTCTGGGTTCTTCACCAGGCCAGAGTTCCCAGGAATGTTTGGGATCATTGGGAGACGACGGCCCCGAAAAGGGACTCGGAGATATTTAGAAAAATCCATTGATTTAAATCGTTTCACCCAACCCAACCCAACCATCGGCTCAAGTCAAGCCAACCATTGGTTCAACCCAACCCAAACCAACCATTGGTTCAACCCAACCCAACCCAACCATTGGTTCAACCCAACCCAAACCAACCATTGGTTCAACCCAACCCAAACCAACCATTGGTTCAACCCAACCCAAACCAACCATTGGTTCAACCCAACCCAACCCAACCATCGGCTCAAGTCAAGCCAACCATTGGTTCAACCCAACCCAACCCAAACCAACCATTGGTTCAACCCAACCCAACCCAACCCAACCATTGGTTCAACCCAACCCAAACCAAACCAACCATTGGTTCAACCCAACCCAACCCAACCATTGGTTCAACCCAACCCAACCCAACCCAACCATTGGTTCAACCCAACCCAACCCAACCCAACCATTGGTTCAACCCAACCCAACCCAACCATTGGTTCAACCCAACCCAACCCAACCATTGGTTCAACCCAACCCAAACCAACCATTGGTTCAACCCAACCCAACCCAACCCAACCATTGGTTCAACCCAACCCAAACCAAACCAACCATTGGTTCAACCCAACCCAACCCAACCATTGGTTCAACCCAACCCAAACCAACCATTGGTTCAACCCAACCCAACCCAAACCAACCATTGGTTCAACCCAACCCAACCCAACCCAACCATTGGTTCAACCCAACCCAAACCAACCATTGGTTCAACCCAACCCAACCCAACCCAACCATTGGTTCAACCCAACCCAACCCAACCATTGGTTCAACCCAACCCAAACCAACCATTGGTTCAACCCAACCCAACCCAAACCAACCATTGGTTCAACCCAACCCAACCCAACCATTGGTTCAACCCAACCCAAACCAACCATTGGTTCAACCCAACCCAACCCAAACCAACCATTGGTTCAACCCAACCCAACCCAACCATTGGTTCAACCCAACACAAACCAACCATTGGTTCAACCCAACCCAACACAAACCAACCATTGGTTCAACCCAACCCAACCCAACCATTGGTTCAACCCAACCCAAACCAACCATTGGTTCAACCCAACCCAAACCAACCATTGGTTCAACCCAACCCAACCCAAACCAACCATTGGTTCAACCCAACCCAACCCAACCATTGGTTCAACCCAACACAAACCAACCATTGGTTCAACCCAACCCAACCATCTGCTCAACCCAACCATTGGTTCAACCCAACCATTGGTTCAACCCAACCACACCCAACCCAACCATTGGTTCAACCCAAGCCCAGCGTGGAGCCCAAGCCCACCCAAGTTCCCAAGTTCCCCATCCCGACCTTCTTGTCCTTCTCGGAGCCGTCGGTGAGCAGGACGCCCTTGGCCTGCATGTGCCGGTACAGGACGCGCTGCAGCGCCGACATGTCGCACTTGATGACGTACTCCACCTGCCGGGGACGGCCATTGGTCAACCCAACCCAACCCAACCATTGGTGCAAACCAACCCAACCCAACCATTGGGTCAACCCAACCCAACCCAGCCATTGGTACAAACCAACCATTAGGTCAACCCAACCCAATCCAACCATTGGTACAAACCAACCATTGGGTCAACCCAACCCAACCACTGGTCCAACCCAACTTCTGCTCAACCCAACCATTGGTTCAACCCAACCACCTGCTCAACCCAACCCAACCATTGGCCCAACCCAACCTAACTCAACCCAACTCAACCCAACCCAACCATTGGTTCAACTCAACTCAACTGTTGGTTCAACCCAACTCAACCCAACCATTGGTCCAACCCAACCACTGGTTCAATCCAACCCAACCATTGGTTCAACCCAACCCAACCCAACCACTGGTTCAACCCAACCCAACCCAACCATTGGTCCAACCCAACCCAACCCAAGCCCACCCATGGACGATGGGGACGGGCTGAAGCTCCCCGTCCATCCCCCACCCCCCCCGGTGGTCTCCAGGCCCGGGGCCCCCATCGGCGTCACCTTCTCGGGCAGCTGAGCCTCCACCTCCTTCTTGAGGCGCCGCAGCAGGAACGGCCGCAGAACCTTGTGGAGACGGCGGATGATGAGGATGGTCTCCTCCTCATTGAGGTCCACCTGGAACGGTCGCCACCAGGAGAAGGGCTTGGTCAGGAATGGAAGTGGATGGACCCTCCCAATGTCCCAAAATAATCCAAGAACCTCCTGAGATGCAGTTGCTGGTGGGATGGAACCTCCCAGAGCTGCAGAACTAGCTCAAAGTTCTCCAGGTCCATCAAAGACACTGATCCACCTCCAAAACATCTCCAGGTCCATCAAAGACACTGACCCAACTCCAAAACATCTCCAGATCCATCAAAACAATGATCCAACTCCAAAACATCTCCAGATCCATCAAAACAATGATCCAACTCCAAAACATCTCCAGGTCCATAAAAGACACTGACCCACAGCTCCAGAACCATCCCCAACTTCTCCAGGTCCATCAAGGACACTGACCCACCTCCAAAACATCTCCACATCCGCCAAAGACACTGACCTAACTTCTCCAGATCCATCAAAGACTGTGATCCACCCCCAAAACATCTCCAGGTCCATCAAGGACACTGACCCACCTCCAAAACATCTCCAGATCCACCAAAGACACTGACCTAACTTCTCCAGATCCATCAAAGACCGTGATCCACCTCCAAAACATCTCCAGGTCCATCAAAGACACTGACCCACAGCTCCAGAACCATCCCCAACTTCTCCAAGTCCATCAAGGACACTGACCCACCTCCAAAACATCTCCAGATCCACCTTCAATCCATTAAAACATTGATCCAAACTTCTCCAGGTCCATCAAAGCCACCAATCCACCTCCAGAACCACTCCCAACCCCTCCAGATCCACCACCACCGAGCCGAACCCCACCTCCAGCACGTCCCACCCATGTCCATGTCCATGTCCATGTCCGTGTCGTCCAGATCCACCACCACAAACCTGAACCCCACCTCCAGCATGTCCCACCCCTGTCCATGTCCATGTCCACGTCCACGTCCACGTCCATGTCCACGTGCCCACCACACCTTCTCGCCGGTCATGGCGAAGGGCGCGTTGAACCACTGCTCGAAGGTGCTGCAGCTCTTGAAGATGGTGGGCAGCAGGAAGTTGAGGAGCGCCCAGAGCTCGGGCAGTTTGTTCTGCAGGGGGGTCCCGGTGAGGAGAAGACGCCGCGGGGCCACGTAGTGGGTGTTGAGGACCTGCGTCAGCTTGCAGTGGTGGTTCTTCATGCGGTGGCCTTCGTCCACGATCATGTACTTCCAACGGATCTGAGGAGGACAGGAGAAACGGAGATGGTCGTCTGCAGGTGGGGAATGGAGATGAAGATCTCAGGTGGGGAATGGAGATGAAGATCTGAGGTGGGAAATGGAGATGGAGATCTCAGGTGGGACATGGAGGACAGGAGAAATGGGGATGAAGATCTCCAGGTGGGGAATGGAGGACAGGGGAAATGGAGATGGTCATCTCCAGGTGGGGAATGGAGGACAGGAGAAATGGAGATGGTCATCTCCAGGTGGGGAATGGAGGACAGGAGAAATGGAGATGGTCATCTCCAGGTGGGGAATGGAGGACAGGGGAAATGGAGATGGTCATCTCCAGGTGGGGAATGGAGGACAGGAGAAATGGAGATGGTCATCTCCAGGTAGGGAATGGAGGACAGGAGAAATGGAGATGGTCATCTCCAGGTGGGACATGGAGCACAGGAGAAACGGAGATGGTCGTCTCCAGGTGGGGAATAGAGATGAAGATCTCAGGTGGGAAATGGAGGACAGGAGAAATGGAGATGGTCATCTCAGGTGGGGACATGGAGGACAGGAGAAACGGAGATGGTCGTCTGCAGGTGGGACATGGAGGACAGGAGAAACGGAGATGGTTGTCTGCAGGTGGGACATGGAGGACAGGAGAAACAGAGATGAAGATCTCAGGTGGGAAATGGAGATGAAGATCTCAGGTGGACATGGAGGAGAACATCTCAGGTGGGGAATGGAGGACAGGAGAAATGGGGATGAAGATGTCCAGGTGGGGAATGGAGATGAAGGTCTCAGGTGGGAAATGGAGGACAGGAGAAATGGAGAAGAACACCTCAGGTGGGGAATGGAGATGATTGTCTCCGGTGGGAAATGGAGATGAAGATCTCAGGTGGGGAATGGAGGACAGAAGAAATGGAGATGATCATCTCCAGGTGGGAAATGGAGATGAAGATCTCAGGTAGAAAATGGAGATGAAGATCTCAGGTGGGACATGGAGATGAAGATCTCAGGTGGGCACCAACCAGAAATGGTTTTAGCAGAATTTGAGAAGAATTTGAGAAGATTTTGAGAAGATCTTTCTCAGAAATTTCTCAGAATTTGAGAAGATTTTGAGAAGAACTTGAGAGGAATTTGAGAAGATTTTGAGAAGATTTTCAGAAGAATTTGAGATCTTTCTCAGAATTTTCTCAGAATGTGAGAAGAATTTTCTCAGAATTTGAGAGGAATGTGAGAAGAATCTTCTCAGAATTTGAGAAGATTTTGAGAAGATTTTGAGAAGATCTTTCTCAGAATTTTCTTAGAATTTGAGAAGAATTTTCTCAGAATTTTCTCAGAATTTGAGAAGATCTTTCTCAGAATTTTCTCAGAATTTGAGAATTTTCTCAGAATTTTCTCAGAATTTGAGAAGAATTTTCTCAGAATTTTCTCAGAATTTGAGAAGATCTTTCTCAGAATTTTCTCAGAATTTGAGAAGAATTTTCTCAGAATTTTCTCAGATTTTGAGCAGAATTTTCTCAGAATTTTCTCAGAATTTGAGAAGATTTTGAGAAGGTTTTGAGAAGAATTTGAGAAGAATTTTCTCAGAATTTTCTCAGACTTTGAGCAGAATTTTCTCAGAATTTTCGGAGAACTGAGCAGGACGCGTCTGTGGGTGGAGCTCACCTTGGCCAGGATGTGCTTGTCCTTGATGATGTACTCGTAGGTGGTCAGCAGGACGTTGAATTTGCCGCTGCGCAGCTGCGGGACGAAGGCGCGGCGCGCGGCCGGGGAGCCCTGAGGGGACAATTCCGACGGGAACGTCACCATTCCCAAAAAATGGGGATCAGCCAAAAAGCTCAGGAGGTTTTGGGGTCTCCTGATGGCGAGGAACGACCAAAGATTGGAATTTTTGGGGATTTTTTGGGGATTTTCATGGATTTTTGGTGGACTCGGAGCTCCAATTCTTCTGGATTTGGAGCTCCAATCCATTTGGATTTGGAATTCCCGAAAAATGGAGGGTTATCCAAAAATGTGAGGAAGGTCTGGGGTCTCCTGATGCTGAGGAACGACCAAAAATTGGAATTTTTGGGGATTTTTGGGTATTTTTGTGGATTTTCATGGATTTTTGGTGGACTTGGAGCTCCAATCTATTTGGATCTAGAATTCCCAAAAAATGGGGATTATCCAAAAAGCTGAGGAGGTTTTGGGGTCTCCTGATGGCGAGGAACGACCAAAAATTGGAATTTTTGGGGATTTTTTGGGGATTTTCATGGATTTTTGGTGGACTTGGAGCTCCAATTCTTCTGGATTTGGAGCTCCAATCCATTTGGATTTGGAATTCCCAAAAATGGGGGGTTATCCAAAAAGCTGAGGAGGTTTTGGGGTCTCCTGATGGAGAGGAACAACTAAAAATTGGAATTTTGGGGCATTTTGGGGGGTTTTTTTGGAGTTTTGTGGGGTTTTGTGGATTTGGAGCTCCAATTCTTCTGGATTTGTGGCTCCAACCCATTTGGATTTGGAATTCTCAGAAAAATGGGGGGTTATCCAAAAAGCTGAGGAGGTTTTGGGGTCTCCTGATGGCGAGGAACGACCAAAAATTGGAATTTTTGTGGATTTTTGTGGCTTTTCGTGGATTTGGAGGTGGGACCCAAGTCCTCCAGAGCTTGAAGAGGAAAACGGAAGCTGGGAGTGGAAATGGAATCCAAGAAAATGGAATTCGAGGAAATGGGACCCAGGGAATTAATCCAATTAATTAATCCAAGGCAATTAAATCCAAGGAATGAATCCAACAAATTAATCCAAGGAATGAATCCAATTAATTAATCCAAGGAATTAACCCAAGGAAATGAAATCCAAGGAAATGGAATCCAAGGAATTAATCTAAGGAATGAATCCAATTAATTAATCCAAGGAAATTAAATCCAAGGAATTAATCCAAGGAAATTCAATCCAACTAATTAATCCAAGGAAGTGAAATCCAAGGAATTAATCCAATTAATTAATACAACAAATTAATCCAGGGAATATATCCAATTAATTAATCCAAGAAATGAGCCCAAGGAAATGAATTCCAATTAATTAACCCAAGCAATTAATCCAAGGAAATTCAATCCAAGGAATTAATCCAATGGATGAACCTAAGGAATTAATCCAACTAATTAATCCAAGGAAATGAAATCCAATTAATTAATCCAAGGAATGAATCCAAGAAAATGGAACCCAAGGAAACAAAATCCAATTAATTAATCCAACAAATCAATCCAATTAATTAATTCAAGGAAATGAAATCCAAGGAAATGAAATCCAAGGAAATGAAATCCAAGGAAGAATCCAAGGAAATTCAATATAACTAATTAACCCAAGGAAATGAAATCCAAGGAATTAATCCAACTCATTAATCCTACCAATTAATCCAGCTAATTAATCCAGCTAATTAATCCAAGGAAATGAAATTTTGGGAATTTGTTCCTCACCTTGTAGGAGACCTTGACCACGGACGGCGCCCACTTGTCGAACTCGTAGGCCCAGTTGGACAAAGTCCTGCGGGACAGACAGACGGACACAAGGTGGGAATTTCGGAAATTTTGGGAATTTTGGGTTCTACACATGGAAAAAATTGGGAATTTTGGGAATTTTGGGTTCTCCAGATGGAAAAAAAATTGGGAATTTTGGGAATTTTGGGAATTTGGGGCTGGAGAAAGTTTGAGGCTCTCCACATGGAAAAAATTGGGAATTTTGGGAATTCTGGGTTCTCCAGATGGAAAAAAAAGTGGGAATTTTGGGAATTTGGGTTCTCCAGATGGAAAAAAAATTGGGAATTTTGGGAATTTTGGGAATTTGGGGCTGGAGAAAGTTTGAGGTTCTCCACATGGAAAAAATTGGGAATTTTGGGAATTCGGGGTGGAAAAAGTTTGGGGTTCTCCACATGGAACAAGGGTGGGAATTTTGGTTCTTCACATGGAAAAAATTGGGAATTTTGGGAAATTTTGCTTCTCCATATGAAGAAGGGGTGGAAATTTTGGGAATTTTTGGTTCTCCATATGGAAAAAATTGGGAAATTTGGGAATTTGGGGCTGGAGAAGACCATAAGAGGTTCTTCACATGGAACAAGGGTGGAAATTTTTGGAATTTTGGTTCTCCACATGGAAAAAATTGGGAATTTTGGGACTTTTGGTTCTCCACATGGAACAAAAGTGGGAATTTTGGGACTTTTGGTTCTCCACATGGAAAAAACTGGGAATTTTGGAAATTTGGGAATTTTGGTTCTCCAGATGGAAAAAAAAGTGGGAATTTTGGGAAATTGGGTCTGGAGAAACTTTGATGTTCTCCACATGGAACAAGGGTGGGAATTTGGGAATTTTGGGACTTTTGGTTTTCCATATGGAAAAGGGGTGGAAATTTCGGGACTTTTGGTTCTCCACATGGAACAAGAGTGGGAATTTTGGGAATTTGGGGGTTTCGGTTCTTCGCACGGAAAAAAACGTGGGAATTTTGGGACTTCTGGTTCTCCGCACGGAACAAAGGTCGGAATTTTGGGAATTTTGGGAATTTTGGGAATTTGGGACTGACGAGAGCGGGACGATGATGAGGAAGGGGCCGTTGATCCTCTTGTGCTCCATCAGGTAGGTGATGAGGGCGATGGTCTGGATGGTCTTGCCCAGCCCCATCTCGTCGGCCAGGATCCCGTTGAGGTTGTTGTTGTAGAGGGACACCAACCACTCCAGGCCCTTGATCTGCGGGACAGGAGAGCCAGGGCCACCTCAGATCCCCATCCAGATCCAGGTCCACCTCAGATCTCCATCCCATAACTGATCCAGGTCCACCTCAGATCCCCATCCAGATCCAGGTCCACCTCAGATCTCCATTCCATAACTGATCCAGATCCCACCTCAGATCTCCATCCCATAACTGATCCAGATCCCACCTCAGATCTCCATCCAGATCCAGGTCCACCTCAGATCCCCATCCCATAACTGATCCAGATCCAGATCCCACCTGAGATCTCCATCCCACCTCAGATCTCCATCCCATAACTGATCCAGATCCCACCTCAGATCTCCATCCAGATCCAGGTCCACCTCAGATCTTCATCCCATTACTGGATCCAGATCCAGATCCCACCTCAGAGCTTCAGCCAGATCCAGATCCCACCTCAGATCTCCACTCAGCTCCTCAATCTCCAGATCCCACCTCAGATCTCCATCCCACCTGAGATCTCCATCCCACCTGAGATCTCCATCCCACCTCAGATCTCCATCCCACCTCAGATCTCCATCCCACCTCAGATCTTCATCCCATAACTGGATCCAGATCCAGATCCCACCTGAGATCTCCATCCCATAACTGGATCGAGATCCAGATCCCACCTCGGATCTCCAACCAGCTCCAGATCCCATTGTCTCACCTCAGATCTTCATCCATCTCTATATCCCACCTCAGAACTTCATCCTACCTTGGATCTTCATCCAGCCCCAGATCCCACCTCAGAGCTTCAGCCAGAATCCATTGTCCCACCTCAGATCTCCAACCATCTACAGATCCCATCTCAGATCTCCATCCATCTGCAGATCCCACCTCAGATCTTCATCTGGCTCCAGATCCCACTGTCCCACCTCAGATCTTCACTCAGCTCCAGATCCACCTCAGATCTCCATCCAGCTCCTCAATCCCATCATCCCACCTCAGATCTTCATCCATGTCCTCAATCCCAGCTCAGATCTTCATCCGCCCCCAGATCCCACCTCAAATCTTCATCCAAGCTCCAGATCCACTTCAGATCTCCATCCCACCTCAGATCTTCATCCCACACTTCATCCAGCTCCAGATCCACCTCAGATCTTCATCCATCTCCTCAATCCCATTATCCCACCTCAGATCTTCATCCCATATTGCATCCTCCTCCATATCCACCTCAGATCTTCATCCACCTTCAGATCCCACCTCAGATCTTCACCCCGTACTGGATCCAGCTCCAGATCCACCTCACGCCTCCATCCACCTCCAGATCCCACCTCAGATCTTCATCCAAGCTCCATATCCACCTCAGATCTTCATCCAACCCCAGATCCCACCTCAGATCTCCATCCAGCTCCTCAATCCCATTGTCCCACCTCAGATCTTCATCCATATCCCACTGTCCCACCTCAGATCTTCATCCCACACTTCATCCAGCTCCAGATCCACCTCAGATCTCCATCCGCCCCCAGATCCACCTCAGATCTCCATCCAGCTCCTCAATCCCATCATCCCACCTCAGATCTTCATCCATGTCCTCAATCCCAGCTCAGATCTTCATCCGCCCCCAGATCCCACCTCAAATCTTCATCCAAGCTCCAGATCCACTTCAGATCTCCATCCCACCTCAGATCTTCATCCCACACTTCATCCAGCTCCAGATCCACCTCAGATCTTCATCCATCTCCTCAATCCCATTATCCCACCTCAGATCTTCATCCCATATTGCATCCTCCTCCATATCCACCTCAGATCTTCATCCACCTTCAGATCCCACCTCAGATCTTCACCCCGTACTGGATCCAGCTCCAGATCCACCTCACGCCTCCATCCACCTCCAGATCCCACCTCAGATCTTCATCCAAGCTCCATATCCACCTCAGATCTTCATCCAACCCCAGATCCCACCTCAGATCTCCATCCAGCTCCTCAATCCCATTGTCCCACCTCAGATCTTCATCCATATCCCACTGTCCCACCTCAGATCTTCATCCCACACTTCATCCAGCTCCAGATCCACCTCAGATCTCCATCCGCCCCCAGATCCACCTCAGATCTCCATCCATCTCCTCAATCCCACCTCAGATCTCCATCCATCTCCTCAATCCCATTATCCCACCTCAGATCTTCATCCCATATTGCATCCTCCTCCATATCCACCTCAGATCTTCATCCACCTTCAGATCCCACCTCAGATCTTCATCCACCTTCAGATCCCACCTCAGATCTTCATCCACCTCCAGATCCCACCTCAGATCTTCACCCCGTACTGGATCCAGCTCCAGATCCACCTCACGCCTCCATCCACCTCCAGATCCCACCTCAGATCTTCATCCAAGCTCCATATCCACCTCAGATCTTCATCCAGCTCCAGATCCCACCTCAGATCTTCATCCATCTCCTCAATCCCATTGTCCCACCTCAGATCTTCATCCATATCCCACTGTCCCACCTCAGATCTTCATCCCACACTTCATCCAGCTCCAGATCCACCTCAGATCTCCATCCACCCCCAGGTGCCACCACCCCACGCCCGCATCTCCACCATGTCCCCACCTGGTACTGCTTGAGGACGCCGTTGACCATGAGGGCCGACTGCTTGTCCACGCGCTCGGTGACGGCGTGGGCCACGGCGTAGTAGGACTGGAGCCCCCGCGCCAGCGCCTGCGACACCCCGTACTCGTCATCCACGTCCTGCTTGGCGTTCCTGCCCGGAGAAACGGCGTGAGAAACCGGGAAAATGGGGGAAAACGGGGTGAGAAACCGGGAAAATGGGGGAAAACTGGGAAAAACGGGGTGAGAAACCGGGAAAATGGGGAAAAACGGGGTGAGAAACCGGGAAAATGGGGGAAAACTGGGAAAAACGGGGTGAGAAACCGGGAAAATGGGGAAAAATGGGGTGAGAAACCGGGAAAATGGGGAAAAATGGGGTGAGAAACCGGGAAAATGGGGGAAAACGGGGTGAGAAACCGGGAAAATGGGGGAAAACGGCGTGAGAAACCGGGAAAATGGGGAAAAATGGGGTGAGAAACCGGGAAAATGGGGAAAAACGGGGTGAGAAACCGGGGAAATGGGGAAAAACGGGGTGAGAAACCGGGAAAATGGGGGAAAATGGGGTGAGAAACCGGGAAAATTGGGAAAAATGGGGTGAGAAACCGGGGAAATGGGGGAAAATGGGGTGAGAAACCGGGAAAATGGGGAAAAACGGGGTGAGAAACCGGGAAAATGGGGAAAAACGGGGTGAGAAACCGGGAAAATGGGGAAAAACGGGGTGAGAAACCGGGAAAATGGGGGAAAACGGGGTGAGAAACCGGGAAAATTGGGAAAAATGGGGGAAAAACGGGGTGAGAAACCGGGAAAATGGGGAAAAACGGGGTGAGAAACCGGGAAAATGGGGAAAAATGGGGTGAGAAACCGGGAAAATGGGGAAAAACGGGGGAAAAAATGGGGTGAGAAACCGGGAAAATGGGGGAAAATGGGGTGAGAAACCGGGAAAATGGGGAAAAACTGGGAAAAACAGGGTGAGAAACCGGGAAAATGGGTCAGGGACAACATGGGGATGGAGAAAAATTGGGAAAAAATGGGATAAAATGGGGAGAAATAGGGGAAAATGGAGGAAAAATGGGATAAAGGGTCATGGAGACGAAGAAGAGAGGAGGAAGAGGAGGAAGAAGAGGAAGAAAGGAAGAGGAAGAAGGAGAATACGGAGAAGGAGAAGGAGAAGGAGAAGGAGAAGGAGAAGAGAGAAAGAAGAGGAAGAAGACGGAGAGGAAGGAGAGGAAGGAGAAGAAACAGAGGAAGAAGATGGAGAAGAGAAAGAAAAGGGAGAGAGGAAGGAGAGGATGAAGAGGAAGGAGAGGAAGAAGAAGAAAGGAAGAAAAGTAAAAGGAGGAAGGAAGGAGAGGAAGAAGAGGAAGAAGAAGAAGAAGAAGAAACAGAAGAAGAAGAAGAAGAAGAAGAAAAGGAAGAAGGAGAGGAAGAAGAAGAAGAGGAAGAGAGGAAGAAAAGGAAGAAAAGGAAGAGGAAGAAGAGGAAGATGAAGAGGAAGGGGAAGAAGAGGAAGACGATGAGGAAGAGGAAGAGGCAGAGGAAGGAGAGGAAGAAGAGGAAGAATAGGAAAGAAAAGGAACAAAATGAGGAAGAGGAAGAAGATGAAGAGGAAGGGGGGAGGAAGAGGAAGAAGAGGAAGAGGAAGAGGGAGGAAGGCTCACTCGATGATGTGTCGGGCGTCCACCTCCGAGACGTCGTCGCTGTCGGGGTCCGGAATTTTCTTCTTCTCCTCCACGGGCAGCGCGGGCTGGGCCAGCTGGGGCTGCTCCTCCTCCTCCTCCTGGGGAGGAAAAACCAAATTCCAGTGAAAAAATTATTCCACAATTAATGGGGAACGCTGAGATAACGAGGGTGGAGTTAATTAAAAGGGCGCGAGATCAATAAAATATTTCATTTTCCAATTCCGCCTTCCTCACCTCCTCCTCCTCCTCGGAGCCGCTCTCCTCGCTGTCGGAGCGCGGAGCCACCTCGTACCTGGGGGGAAAAATGGGAATTTTCCCAAACACGGGACTGGCTCTGGAATTCTCAATATTCCCAGTGCTCGTTCCCAGTACTCCCAGTATACCCAGGGTCCATTCCCAGTGCTCGTTCCCAGTATTCCCAGTACTCCCAGTTTACCCCGGGTTCATCTCCAGCCAGGCCGCTCAGTGCTCATTCCCAGTGCTCATTCCCAGTGCTCATTCCCAGTGCTCCCAGTATCCCCAGTTTACCGCGGGTTCATCTCCAGCCAGGCCTCCCAGTACTCATTCCCAGTACTCCCAGTATTCCCAGTATCTCCAGTTTACCCCGGGTTCATCTCCAGCCAGGCCGCCCAGTGCTCATTCCCAGTGCTCATTCCCAGGGCTCCCAGTATTCCCAGTATGCCCAGTTTACCCCGGGTTCATCTCCAGCCAGGCCTCCCAGTACTCCCAGTATACCCAGTGCTCACTCCCAGTGCTCCCAGTGCTCCCAGTACTCCCAGTTTACCCCGGGTTCATCTCCAGCCAGGCCTCCCAGTGCTCCCAGTGCTCATTCCCAGTGCTCATTCCCAGTGCTCATTCCCAGTGCTCCCAGTACTCCCAGTATCCCCAGTTTACTGCAGGTTCATCTCCAGCCAGGCCTCACAGTGCTCATTCCCAGTACTCCCAGTATTCCCAGTATCCCCAGTTTACCGCGGGTTCATCTCCAGCCAGTACTCCCAGTACTCCCAGTATACCCAGTGCTCATTCCCAGTGTTCCCAGCATACCCAGGGTCCATTCCCAGTATGCCCAGTTTACCCCGGGTTCATCTCCAGCCACGCCTCCCAGTGCTCGTTCCCAGTACTCCCAGTGCTCCCAGTACTCCCAGCATTCCCATTGTTCATTCCCAGTGCTCCCAGTGCTCCCAGTATCCCCAGTTTACCCCGGGTTCATCTCCAGCCAGGCCTCCCAGTGCTCCCAGTGCTCATTCCCAGTGCTCCCAGTGTTAATTCCCAGTGCTCCCAGTGCTCACTCCCAGTGCTCCCAGTGCTCCCAGTACTCCCAGTTTACCCCGGGTTCCCCTCCAGCCAGGCCTCCCAGCGCTCCCAGTGCTCATTCCCAGTGCTCATTCCCAGTGCTCCCAGTGCTCCCAGTATCCCCAGTTTACCCCGGGTTCATCTCCAGCCAGGCCTCCCAGTGCTCCCAGTGCTCATTCCCAGTATTCCCAGTGCTCCCAGTATCCCCAGTTTACCCCGGGTTCCCCTCCAGCCAGGCCTCCCAGTGCTCCCAGTGCTCATTCCCAGTATTCCCAGTGCTCCCAGTATCCCCAGTTTACCCCGGGTTCATCTCCAGCCAGGCCTCCCAGTGCTCCCAGTGCTCATTCCCAGTGCTCATTCCCAGTGCTCCCAGTATCCCCAGTTTACCCCGGGTTCATCTCCAGCCAGGCCTCCCAGTGCTCCCAGTGCTCACTCCCAGTGCTCCCAGTGCTCCCAGTATCCCCAGTTTACCCCGGGTTCATCTCCAGCCAGGCCTCCCAGTGCTCCCAGTGCTCATTCCCAGTGCTCCCAGTGTTAATTCCCAGCGCTCCCAGTGCTCATTCCCAGTGCTCCCAGTGCTCCCAGTATCCCCAGTTTACCCCGGGTTCATCTCCAGCCAGGCCTCCAGCTGCCCGGCCTTGGGCGCGTCGGTTCCCGTCAGGATTTTGCCGCTCTCCACGTGGATCACCTTCACCGGGAGGTCGCTCATCTGGCTGGTCTCGTCCAGGGGCTGCCAGTGGGATTGGGAATTGTCAAAAATCCCCAAAATTCACCCCAAAAATCATCCCAAGATTGGGAATTTTAAGGTTTAAAAATCCCCCCCAGATTGGGAATCCTCAGCCCCAAAAATTCCCCAGGATTGAGACTGAGAACTCTCAAAAATTCCCCAAAATTCCCCCCAAAAATCCCCCCCTGATTGGGAATTCTCAGCCTCAAAAATCCCCCAGGATTGGGAATTCTCCAAAATTCCCCAAAATTCCCCCCAAAATCCCACCCAGATTGGGAATCCTCAGCCCCAAAAATCCCCCAGGATTGAGACTGAGAATTCTCAAAAATTCCCCGAAGTTTCCCCAAAAATCCCCCCCAGATTGGGAATCCTCAGCCCCAAAAATCCCCCAGGATTGGGAATTCTCCAAAATTCCCCAAAATTCCCCCCAAAATCCCACCCAGATTGGGAATCCTCAGCCCCAAAAATCCCCCAGGATTGAGACTGAGAATTCTCAAAAATTCCCCAAAATCCCCCCCAAAAATCCCCCCCAGATTGGGAATCCTCAGCCCCAAAAATTCCCCAGGATTGAGACTGAGAATTCTCAAAAATTCCCCAAAGTTTCCCCAAAAATCCCGCCCAGATTGGGAATTCTCAGCCCCAAAAATCCCCCAGGATTAGGAAATCTCCAAAATTCCCCAAAAAAATTCCCCCCAGATTGGGAATTTTCAGGCTTAAAAATCCCACCCCCAAATTGGGATTGGGAATTCTCAAAAATTCCCAAAATTCACCCAAAAAATTCCCCAAGATTGGGAATTTTCAGCCCCAAAAATCTCCCCCAGATTGGGAATTCTCAGCCCCAAAAATCCCCCAGGATTGGGAATTCTCCAAAATT